CTGGACTGGGAAGCCCAACCCTGCAACCTAGCCAGACTTCATTAGCAGTGCTGTTTCTCCTAGACTTGCACTCTCATATCTGTGAGATTTGATTTGGGGGGGAGTGGGGAAGACAAGGGGAAAAGAGCTTTTGCATTTATGAAAACAAGCTTGAAATGAAAAGGATCCAAAGTTAGAGGCAGATCACACCGCAAAGCCTGCCACTCACTCTGCTCAAGCCATCCAATGGCCCAAAGAACCCTGACTTGGGCTTTTCTGAGCACCCCAGGCTGACAACAGATTTTTACATGTTTTTGAAACCCCTGATGATTTTGGCCTCACAACCCCTGGCACCGTCCCAGCACACTCTAACTGCCCCACCACTCGTTTGAGAGCAGCTGCCAACTCTCCTCCCTGTGCCACAGAGCATGCAAGCTCACACCATTGCTGCCGCTGCCACCATGGCAGCGTGCACAAAGTTGGTGGATCAACCATCACCAACCCTGCTCTCGCCAGACACCTCCTTTGTCTGCCCTGGAGGGCGAGGCCCCGTTCCCTGGGATTAGTGAAAGGAGGAGAAAAGGGAATTTGCTTCATCTGCAAGCTATAAATCCTCCCCATCTGCCAGAGCCCAGTGTAGATGGGAACAGCTGTGTGGCAGAGTTTCCCCAAGGCCCCAGATCTGTTGATGATGCTGAAATACCAATTTAAGTGTAAGAGCTGGAAAGCAAGAGAGAAATAAGCAGTAGGGAAAGGAGGGAGGACAACCATAGAATCACAGAATGGTTCAGGTTGGAAGGGAACTTCAAAGGGCATCTGGTCCAACCATTCTACATGGGCAGGGACATCCTTCACTAGAACAGGATGCCCAAAGCCTCATCAGACCTGACCTTGAACACTTCCAATGGTGAAGCATCCCATGCTTTTAAAGGAAACAAAATTAATACCGTTTGCTTGGAAGAATGCATTATTTTACTTAAGAGATTTTTTCGCTGAGTGAGTTCAGCGAGTGAGGATGAGACCTGTTATGCATGTTGTTAGACAGGGTCTGCTGAGGAACAGAGGGAAGAGGCAGGTAGCGCCCAACATGTGTGAGCACAGAGAAAGGAGCTAAACAAGAGGTGGACTGTCAGGACCCATGGCTGGATGATGTCTCATCCATCTCGGGACCTATATTTTCCCAACAAGCAGAAGATGCTTTCCAACTGCAAACACAGCCAGCTCCATCTATGGACCACCCTTGGTCCCGATGCCACTCTTTCAGAGCCACTGCTCAAATGTCTGGACACCTAATTTTAGTTTCCAGCCTAACTCATTAGCAGCTACACATCCTCCCCATGCACACTTGTTTAACTTGTAGAAAATAATCTTCCCAAAGCTTGAACAGCTCCTCCTCCCTCTGTGGGGTAAATACAGGGCTGTGTAAGACGCCAGGCACCTGTACATCCCAGGAACAGCGGTGCTCAGGCCTCCCAGGATCAGGCAAGTTTGATTCCCCATGAACTGTCGCAGTGGGGAACACTAGCACTAAATCCTCCAGAAAACCAGCCCAGACCACAGCACGTGGAAGTCTGCTCCGGTGTTTGTAGGACCTGTAAAAACACAGCTGTGCTCACCTCTCCAGCCATGTGCCCAGCAGAGACCCATGCAGCACGTTAATCAAAGCTGTGGTCTTATTATTATTACTACTACTGCAGTCATACCTGGAGGCCCCCAAACAGATCCCTGTGACAGCAAGACACGGTCGCTGCTCTGATGAGTTGACAAACCTAGTTTGAAACAAGTCGCAGAGAGTCAGCGCGGCACACAGCGAGGAGGGGAACTCGCAGACGCTGTGAAAATTGCTCACTTAGCTGGTCTAAGCCACGCACGCCTTGAGTGCTTCCAGTCACATTAAAATGCTGCTGGTTTATAAACTGCTGGCTGTTGAGTTTTCTCCCTTTTTTTTTTTTTTTAGTCATTTAACCATTTCCAACTTGTTTTAAAGTTCCACTGAGTAGCTTTTAATCTGGCTGATCCTTGTGCAGGAGTCAAGGGGAGGGGGGGGAAAGAAGTAAAAATCAAAGTCACGGTGAGACCATGGAAATGCCTTGGTGGGAGGGAGAGGGGGGGACAGCCGTTCCCCCGCCGTGCCCAAAGCCCATCACTCCAGTGTCTTTCCCCTGTGCTTTCAATGTGTTGAAGAAATAAAACCACAAATGCTATCAGCTAGACAGACCCACTACATGGGAGCAACAACCTACAAAATAATAACAAAGAAAGGCAAAGCCAGAGGATGCATTTTCCCGAATGTTAAAAGCAATGAGCTGAAAGAAATTGCCGGGAACAGAATTTGCTGGTCCTCCCAGAGACATTCCCGGTACCATCCCTGCAGCCTCTGGTAGCAGGGAGCCAACTCCAATGGCAGGCCAGGCGGTGCCAGGCTGTGATGTGCATGGCAGCTTTCTGCCCCATGGCAGCTTTCTGCCCCATGGCAGCCCTGGGACAGCCCTTCTCTGGAGCGGTGCCGCTGCTCACACCCATCTCCAGCAGAAGGATGCTGAGCTGCGTGCTACCCACGCATGGTGGAAAGCCCACGTGGTTCCACTGAAGGACCTCTGGAGGGGCAGGAAAGATTAAAACATACTGGGGTGCAAGGGGACGCTGAAGCTACAGACTCGCAAAGAAAGGAAGGAAAAACCTGTGACCAACAGAGAACAAATTTAGGCAAAAAAACCCCGTGGTGCCCCTTTACGCAGGGAACCAGTGGGGCACGGAGCAGTTTCCCAGGCTGAATTATTGCTGCAAAAACAACGGAGGTCATTGAAGAAACAATTAGGGAGCCTGGAGCAGAGAAGGGAGCCATAGAAAGTGAATGAAGCATGTTGGGCTAATTATTTTCTCACTGACCCCCCCTTCGCCTGCCAGATCCCAGAAGTCTCGTGTTCTCAGGGTTATATACAGCTGGGCTAATGGCTTTGCACCGGCTGCTGACACCGAACAGCAGTGTGTCACCTTCTGAAAGTGGATTAGCTTAAGCTGCAAGCACGCTGTCACATCACTAAACCAGTCCCTGACCAGGTCTTGGCCAACCCTTAGCTCTTCCAGGCCTGCCAGATGACAAAGGGATCTCCAAAAGCTCAGCATCAGACAAGGTAAGGGATTGGCACTGAAAAAGGCTTCCTGTGAGCTCCCCAAGTCTCCTGGTTTCTAACAGGACCTGGCGATGCTCAGCTCCTTGTGGAACTGGGTCGTCAGTGGTGCATGAGAAATGTCTGCGTGCCTCATCTCCCCTTCTCAGCCTTCAGTGTCTGCTCTTAGGGACAGCCTCCTTCCCCAAATGCCAAGGAAGAAATAATATTTAGAAAGTGTAAAAGTTCCTAAGTCACATATAACCAGTTCTACAATCACTAAAGCACCAATAATTAAGGCATACTGACATTTTTCACACACACAAAAAAATTTAAAAATAGTGGCTGATCAACAACAGTTTTCCTAGAAATAAAAGTGAAAGTGTTATTTTGCATTACTATTTTAAATTTTAAGAGAATTAGAAAAACAAGAATTTCCACTTGACTTGAAGGTGACATTTTCATTGCACTTCAGAAACAGATTATTTTTTACTTTTTTAATTCCAAATGTCTTTCTCTTCCTCTTACTCGCTAATGTTTTGTTACTGAAGGCAACAGAACAGGTGCAAATGACTTCGCTTTTCCCCTCCAACACATTTTCTTTTTTCGTTCTGAATTCTCTGAAGTTAGAGCAGCAAAGGGAAAAAAACGAAACACTCATCAGACTTTTCCAACTTTTCTACAAAATGTCCTTAACTTTAGAAAATTGCTCAAGTGCGAGATTTAATATGCTGCTTTGTTTTTCTTTCTCTTTTCCATTATTCTGTAATCTTCCTGAAAATGCACACACTTTCAAAAAATAGAGTAGAAAAAGGAAAAATAAGATACCGATGACATCTATCTTACTGCACTAAACACAAAAGAGGGAAAAGTGGTGAATAGAACAAAGTAGAGCATCCAAAACCCCAAATCAAAACATGGTTTGGCAACTTCCTTGAATACAGCTGAGTATTTCTTTGGGGGGTGGATGGAGAAGAGGAGGGGGAAGAGTTTTCCACCCATTTCTAACCATAGTAAATCACTGGGAATAGAAAAGTCACTACCCTGCCAAGACAGTTTCCACTCTCTTCTAAAATCCTTGGCTTCCACCTTGTTTCTGTGGCAATGAAAGTTCCATCACACACTCGCCACTGTCAGCCAGGGGCATCCTGGGTGCTCCAAATGGCAGGTTTCCAGATCCAGACCCCAGAGAAGCTCCCACTGCTGGGCTCGTGTCTGCAAGTCAGGAACCTAACTCCCATGCTCACTGCTCAACTGCATGAAGACAGGAGGACTTTTACAGTAGGACGTAGAGGAAGGCGGGAACATGGTGATTAATAGGTGTTTTGCTGCTCCAGAGGACATTGAAATGGTCATGTAAATATCCTCAGAATTATATCATTATTTCATATTCAAGAGAGTTCCATAGTAGAGGAAAAAGAATAAAAGTAAAACTGAATCAAACCAGCAGGGTGGAGAGGAAGCACTCCTAGACCCATTTGGCCAAATTTATGCCCTACGACCCTAATTATACTCATACACCCAGAGCACATTCTCACATTTATAAAGGATTCTCATCATGCTGAGAATCAATATTGAAAAGGGTTGTCCAAGATCCAGCTCCTTGGATCAACACATACCAGCAGAGACCAAACACGCAAAACCCGTTGAAAAGCACCCATCTCAGACAGAGGACAAGAAACAAGAAAGGTCTGTCCCCATATCCTCCCCCAGCCCTGCGTGTCTCAGGAGGGTGGCTCCCCAGAGCGAGTGAAAGAGATACCTTCACATTCTTCTTTATTCGAATGATCTGAAAAAGGGAGGCTCCCACAAACTCATCAACAAAGAGCAAGTCAAGAACAGTGTGTGTCAGCAGTCAGTTCATGTGAATTAGACAGTTGTGGTGCCTTCCTAAAAAAATAAAATACTTACCATCACCTCCTGGTTGCTTATATGGGTTGTACTTTGGCTTGGGGGCAACAACAGGCGCAAACTTCTTTGGTGCCTGCTGGGTGGACACTGAGATGCTGGGCGTCCCGAAGGTGTGTGTGGTCTCCATCCTTGCAGGAACGTGTCCAATAGGCTCATTGGTACTCTTGGGTGGTAGCCAGGATGGGTGGGACATGGTTCAGATCTGAGAGGAGAGGCAAAGAGAATAACACAGGCATTGGGAATTTAGGCTGAGGAAATAACAGATGCAAACCTACTGTTTTACTGGTTTATAAAATCAAACCCACAAAACCTTTTAACATGCTTATCCTTAAACATATGGGTCCTAACGTATGGAACTTATGATATAAACTTGTCTGTCTTTCCCCAGCACGTCAGAATTACTGATCAGCTCATTGGTGGTGCCTGCAAAAAAGGGTTGCTATTTTCCTCTTCAACCCAAAGTGGAGGCAGGCTGATACCCTGGAGAATCCCATCCATCCCACCATCCATTCAGCACGGTAGTGATATTCCTGCCTTTCCCCGTTAGGCTTTTGTGAGTACATTAACATACAACCGTGTAGGTGCTCTGGGGACAAGGATAACCACAGAAAGGCAGACGCACTTCCAAAATATGCCTTTAACACTTCTCCACATGTCTTCTAGGGCTCCATGTCCCAGCAACTTCCATTCAAACTTTTACGAAAAAGGATTTCAAAACCAGCTAATCACTCTCGATGCCTTCGTTTCTGAATGCCCAGCTTAAGATATTTTAAAAGCATGTCAATTTTGAGAAAATGCCAGAATCCCACAACCGCTGACAACCAGGCTCCTTTTAGACATCTCGACTTGTGTAACAGAAAACAGAGGCAGTCCAAATCATTACTTATTTATGAAAATCTTGGCTTTGGCCTCTTAAAAGCCTATATCACTTTTGAGAAGTAGACTCAGATGCTGCTGAAAATGCTGCCCATAAAAAACCTGTTCATTGCAATGAACAAATGCTTTTCCCTGCACACAAACTACACTCACTGGGTAGCAGTGATGGTCCTACAGTACCATCAGATGGTTCCACAGAGATGGATTTCAGATGTGATGAAGAAATGAAGGCCCCACACAGACAAAAGCCAATGCTGATTTTGGAGCTCTTGAGCACCCTAATGCTTTTGCCCACACTCTGCTTCAGTGTCAGGACTCCTCAAGGCCACCAAAACCAGCAGACAGCTGGAACCCAATCGGGAAAGATTTGGTTTGATCATGGAAAAGGATCAGTGTAAGAGACAGCACCAGGCCACGGGAGACATTACCAGAGTGCCACTGCAGAAAAGCACTTCCATCTGGGAACAACAGGTCAAAGCAGAGGCACTGCTGGGCTTGCAAAGAGGTGGTCTCCAACTGCAGCAGCAAGTGGAATCTACTGGGGGCTGAGATGAGACAGAGATTTGTAGCTCTGCTGAGCGTAGCAGCAAAGGGCTGTATTAGCTGGTGTGAACCGTCTTCTGAGCTCAGAGTTGGAAGAGGAAAGGGGACAGATGAAAGGTGGCCTCTGGCAGGTGTAGACCCCCTTGGAGTGAAATCATTACCGAAGTCCACAGTGCTACAGCGCTCCAACTATTCTGACACAGCTCTGTGATCATGCATGCAGCCGTCTATTTGAAGGTCTCACATGGAGGTATTTCCAAAGCTGAGAAGTGCAGCCACACACAGCCTGCATTCCACGCAGGAACGCAGCCACAGGTCCACTCCTAGCCTACACCTGGGCATCTTCTTGGTGCCTCACAGCTAAGGCTTCCATGCACACATGCTTCTCAGAGAAACAAACAACACTGAGCTCTTCAAACAGCCCCCAGAATTATATGGAACATTCAGGCAGGAAGAAGGCATATCTAAGTCTACCTAGAGAAAACAAAGCAGAAATCACACTTGGTTTCTCCTTTTTCCTAATTTGGGCTCACACATCACTGGAAACATCAAGACTAAGCTGCTGGGAATCAGGACCAGAGCTATTTTGCCAACTCATCCTGGCTGGCAAAGCATCTGTATCCTACATGCTTCATGGTGGAGCAAATTCAGTTGAGAGCTTTATCAAAGAAGCAAATGAAGAATCTTGGGTATAAACTAGAGACAGTATCCTGCATGGATAACATTGATCTAGCAGTTTTCTGTTAGCAATGCTGAGTCTGTCTGGGGAAAGGAGCAAGGTCTCCATAATGTAGTTTGAGGACAGTACCTCCAGCTAAGAGCACTGACTGTTAAAACTGATGTGTAAATAAGTGTACTTAATTCCAGGCCAGTAAATTTACTCCAGGTAACAGGTTTCCTACCTGTGGAGTACTTTCTTCTTAGAGTCCCAATGTCTGACCCAACACTAGGAGACAGATAATTTGTGGTCGTCTTCCACCTCCGTTGCTCCTTGTGTGGCAGAGGAACTGGCAATCACCAAACATCAGCCTCAACACTTGTGGCTCTTCCTCACTGTGCAGTTTGCCTGCTTGGCATGCATGCAGTGGTTTTGCAATCCCTACCACTGGAGGATGAGCCTGTTGTGCTAGACATGCAATAACAGCTAAAGGAAGCCACTAGGGCCAGCATGGAGGGATTGGCTAGAAATGAGGCAGACGGGAGTGTGGCAGGAGCATCCTGGAGATGGACAAGCTACAAAGTCGCCACTTTCCCTCCCACATATGACTGTCTTCCAACCTTACATTAACAGTGCAGAGCATCATTCCGAAAGCAAGAAGCGAAAGGCAGGTCCTCTCCACAGGGCCAGAGGGGAAACCAGCCACGACAGGTAGGGGTGGAGGGTGTATGAACCACGCTCCCATCACCTGGTACTTCCCATCCTCATCAGCAGCCCCGATGGACCTAGAAAACAACTGCACTTGAGCAGTAAGATTCACCTACACTGCTGCCTCCTCCTCCAGCATCCTTCAGAAGTGTAGAATGCAGCAATAAAACTCAGGCAACTACCTAGGTTTAAAAGCTGAAAGCAATGAGGGCACTCAGCCTTAAGAGCCAAACAGGACAACTCTGCAGAGTGCATTACATCCAAAGACAACAATACCTTACGCACTGCTAAAAGCATTCTGGAGTTTTATTCTGACAGGTTTTCAGCCCCTGGCTTGACATCTCATATGAAAGAGCATCCTGCTGCATGAAGCCCCGTCAGACCCTGGACACTACTTCCATACTCATTCAAAGCAAAAAAAAATATCCCAGTACTGCCCAGATTATCATCAGTCCTGTTTTGGTAGCTCCTTAATTGTTCCTTAACCATCTCCCAGGCAACACGCCTTGGTCCCACTGAGCTCTCACAGTCTGCCAGGCTGATGGCAGGGACGGGTTGAGTGATGCACAAACCAAGAACATCTGCTTTGGTAGCCAGGTTGCACAGTGCTGGGGATGGCTCAAGGCAACGTGAATCTCAATGAATGAGCTTAAAAAGCAGGCTGCTCTTATGGACAGCTCAGAAGCATGAAGACCATGCTGCTGTAACTCAACTGCTGACTGTAAGCTGGCACGCAGGTCCCTTTCCACTACCCTCTAACACATTTGTTTTTGGCGGTGGTGGTATTTTCTAATTGTTTCCCTGTTAGCCTTTTCTCTTCCTCTTTCTCCCCCTCTCATTTTCTGTTATGCATTCACTGCCACTCTTTTTTCCTATCTGTGCCTTGACAATGTTTTCAGCAAGTTCCCTCGTCCTCATCTGTTCCAGCCCCAGCTCCCTAGCCTCAATTAAATTTAGCCTAACTACTTTGAGAGGTCATTAAAAAAGAAAATGAATTAATCTCTTTTTAACAACTGAAGCTAAACTTCTGGGTTTGCTGTTATGTTCTCCCCATTTTTTTCATCTGGTAAAAGGCCAAGAGCAAGGCAAAATATAAGGGACAGTGGCTTGCAGATGGGCGCAGCCCCTTGCCTCTCTCTGCAGACTTCTCCTTGGAGAAGCACCTAATTCAGACAAAGCCATTAGTGCTCCCTCACCATTCCCTGCAACATTGTCCAGTTTTCAGTCAGAAGCTACTTTGGAGCAAAACAAATGAACATTTTGTGATGTGGACAAGTAATCAAAACAGCACAAGGAAACTTGGGCTTATGACCAGTGATCTTACTCTAAACTTACCACCATATATGCCACCATCTCTTGTGTCATTATGGTTCCTGCACTGGACTGAGAACCTCCAACAGGTCAAGGCAGTGCTTTTCCTGCTAGCCAGCAAACATGACCAACAAATACATGTTTCACTTTTGTCTTTGAAGTGTCTCCTTCCAAAAAAGTTATATCTGCCAGTTGTACAGTAAGCAGTCTTGTTTTCAGAAGTTTCTAACTAGGTGTGAGATGCAGGGAATTGCAGAAGTCAGTGGTTACAAGAAGGCTAAAGTCACTAAGAAACTGAAGAGAATAAAAAGAACAAACTATTGGATATTGCAGGCTTGAAAGAACCAAGGAACAGATAAAACAATAGAAGCAGTATCAAGATGGATACGCTGGGGGAACCCAAGAAGCAGGATCAGAAAAAACATCCTAGGAGCACGCACGCTCACAGGGGATAACAGGCTGAAGTCCATTCGCTCACCTTGGCTGTTACAACAGCTGCATTACCCACTTCTAAGGTGAATACAGCAAGCTCCTCCCTCAAGGGTAATAGTGGATGGAGTGAAAAACCATAAAACCCAATCTGATTATTTTAGTTCTTCAAAAACAATCCCACCCCACTGGAGAACAGTGAGTCTCACCAGCCTTTTGCTGGCCAAGCCACCTATTGCTGCTCCTTGGACGCCAAATGCAAAGGAATCTAATCCTTCCACTGCTCAAGTCAATGGCTGGACCACAGAGCTCTCACTGAAAAGTTAAACTGCAAGTTAAATCTACAGTTGTCCCCACATTTCTGCTCCAAGCAACCTTTGGAACCTTTGTCATCAGAGCCCATGTCCCTGGCAAGCCTCCCAGAGCAACAGCAATCCCTTGCTTCCCCATCAGTGCCATATACCCCTCTTTCTTGGCTGAAGCCTTCTACGTTTCTGCCTGCCACACAGCCATACTCCTTAGTCAGCAGTAACTCTACAGCTCCATTCCTGACCTGGCTGCTACAAGCTTTGTGTACAACTCCTTACTCACTGACCACTCTCATGATACCCCTTTCCTAAATTCACTGCCCCACCCCAGACAAAAATCTCCTAAATCTTCCTTATGTCGTTGCTTTG